TTTATAGTAGAGACGGGGTCTCGCTCTTGCTCAGGCTGGTTTTGAACTCCTGACCTTGAGCAATCCGCCCGCCTCGGCCTCCCAAGAGCTAGGATTACAGGCGTGAGCCACAGCGCCCGGCCAATGTTTATTATCTTATTTATTCCTCACAACCACCTTACGGGGTAGATATTATTATTATTATTGTCATGCTACAGAAGGAGGAACAGGCTGAGAGAAGTAAAAGAACTTCCTCAGGATCACATAGCTATTAGGCATGATGGAATCTGGATTCAAACCCCGGAAATTTTGCCAGCAGCTCTTAAGTGCTGCGGGAGACCACATGGCTTCTCCTAGGAGAGAGGGAGATTGGTATTATGCACATTTTATTCCCTTTAAAAATTCATTATATAGTATTTAAGATAGAAAAAAGGTACATTATGCACAGATAGTGCTTCCTCATTACTTCAATATATATGTATATATATATATAATTTATTTACTTATTTATTTCCCACTGTGTGCCAAGCATTAGGTATGTAGCAACAAATTCCTTCAGATGGAGATGGTCAGGAGAACATTAAGGCAATGTTAGGAAAATCAGAGTTTATTATCCAGGGCTGCCTGCCTCTGTGTGTAGCATTGGGCTGGGTAAGCCTCAGTAAAAGAGAAGCATCAGAAGACCGTGCCATAAAATAAGCCACATAGACAGAAGAGAGTCACTGAGTTTGGTTACAAGGAAATGAATCTGTTCACACAGTATGACAACTAACATCACTTTATAATTATATTTTATAAGCACCACAGGCAAAATGCAACTCAGGTGATGAGCTTTGGGTAGTGGAAAAGCGCCCGACCCTGGGAGCCAGTCATCGTCCTCGATCCAGCATTTTCTCAGGGCAATGTCCAACACGGTGGTGATACAGCCGAAAACCAGGTAGGCAGGTGGCTGCCCTCCCAGAACTTATAGTCTGGTGAGACCATTCTTACTTAGATCCTTGCTCTGAGTCACTGTCAACCTCTAGCTATGTGATCTTGGACAAGAAACTTCTCCTGCCCCTATCCGTAAAATAAATGGGTTTAGACTAGGGAACGTGTCACTCAGATTACGGGCCCACCCAAAGCGTACCCCCAGCCGCCGTGCCCAGGGTAAGGTGGGTGAGGCTCTCCGGCTCGGCGCGGTCCGGACCGGGAGAGCGTTCGCGTTCCGGAAGCGCGTGTCCCTCGCCGCGCGCCGTCGTCCCCGCCACCGCCCGCTGGGCCGGAGGAGGCGGAGCCGGCGCTGTCCCGGCTCCGGTGCGGGGAAGCAGCTGAGTAGGCGGCGCGGCGGGCTCGGGCGGCCGAAGAGGCTGGCAGGTGGCGCCGGCAGCGCGAGGAGAGCGCCGCCGTGGAGTGGGCGCACCCGGCCAGAGGAGTCCACTCCATGCGTGCGGGCCGCGGCCGGCCCCTGCGAGCCGCCGACATGAAGAAAGACGTGCGGATCCTGCTGGTGGGAGAACGTGAGTCCGCACGCCCGGCCTGGCCGCTGCAGCCCGGGTCTTCCCTGCCCCTGCGTCCCCGGCGACCCCTGCAGCCCCGGCAGCCCCTGCCCCTGCAGTCTGGGTCCTCCCCGTCCCCTCACAGCTCGTCTCTCTGCGGCCCCTCTCTCCGCGTCTCCCCAGGCCTCCCAGCCGCTTCGCTCTGCCCTTTCAGCTGCCTGCCGGCGGCCCTCATCCCCTCACCTCACCTGGGCCCTCCCGAGACCTTTCTTCCCTTTTCCCCAGTCGCTCCCAAGCTGTGTCTCCATTAGCCCCTGACCGCTTGACCGCATCCGTCCGCAGGTCCTCTCCTCCCTTTCTTCTTCGACTCCTTTCCTCCTGGGCCTCACAGTCTCCCAGGCTGCCTGCTTTCAGACCCTCTTGCCTTCCCTGGAGGTCCCCTTGTCACTGCCAGGCAGGTGCTGGGATAGGCAGACTGACCAATTGGGATTGCCTGAACTGGCTCCCGGGAGAGCTAGGGGGAGGGGTGCAGAACTATTCGACTTGTGGGCAAGGTCAGCTTTCTGGATTTTTTTGCTCTCACAGTCTTCGCTCCCTCTACGCATTGACATTAATTAAGATAGGGAGCTTTTTAAGCGATGCCTGTACTTTCCGTTGGAATAACTCCTGGCACTCGTGTAATTTCCTCAAAAATTTAGTCTCAACTTCAAGTTATGCAAGTGCTCAATGAATGAGAATTATCCGGGAGGGTCCTTTAGTTGAGGCAATTATTGTTACCCTAAAGGCTGATTTTCGCCCTCTTTGTAAGCATTATTGTTCCATAGTTACTTGGTAGTTAATTCAGAAATAACAACGGGCAGGAGACCGAAACAGATGCATGAGACACCCCTAGAGAGTCTTAGATTTCACCTTTTGAAAATATAATAAAGGAGCAATGCCTCTGTTCATTGACATGAGGACAGAACAACAGGACTCGATATCACTGTGCAAGTTATGTGACTTCATTGCTGGGACTAAAATAAGAAAGTGGACTGGGAGGACTGGATTGTTTCTTTTCGAGTACATTAGTTAATGCTTTGCCATTGCCGTTTTGAAGCATTCTATTCTAAATGACATTCCATTCTTGAGTAGCCCCTCCTGATCACTGTGTTGAGCTCACCAGGAAGAAAGTTAATACATTTTCACTTTCTTCTGTAGTGTTTTTTGATGTGCATTGAAATCTCTGTTCACCTGTTGTTTGGAGAAAACTCCTTTAGAATTAGAATTTAGAAGTAAGCTTAGCCAGACATACTAATAGTTTACTTCTTGGTTTGCAGTTTTAAATTTTAGTTTTCATTTATAACTAGCTATATCTTAATCACCATTTTGCATTGACTTCCTGACAAAAGTTCATGAAGATGTTATGATTCATACATAACAGCTTTTGGAGTGAGGTAGGGAAAATGACTAGATGACCTGCTTAAAAAAATTGATCCTTAAATGTATCAGAAAATAGTTTTATAGTATAGTAATTTTTATAAAAAAAGAAAGATCCTATATTTTGGGGTTAGTTTTTAATATAGGAAGCAATTACATATCATTAGTGTATAGAACATCTAATAGAAATGCTATACATATGTACAATATGTCAGCATTAGGACATTTAAGTTAAAATATTAACAATATTTAGGAATGCATAAAATAGTTTAAAATTTGTTAGAAAAATTACAAGCCATGTTCTGTAGAAATGAAAGCTATTAAGAGAGTTGATAAAACTGTATGTATGTGCAAGAGTTTTCTGACATATTGAACAACTTGACACAGGAGAAAGCCTTAGTTTTTGAGAAAGAAACTTTTTTTTTTTTAAAAGAGATGGGATCTTTGCTGTATTGCCCAGGCTGGAGTGCAGTGGTGCAGTGACCAGTCACAGGCAGAATCTAAGTGTACTATAGCCTCCAACTCCTGGGCTCAAGCTATTCCTCCTGCTTCAGCCTCCCAATTAGCTGGGATGACAGATGCAAACCACTGTGTCTGGCCATAGGAAGACATTTTTCTTAAAAAGTATGGTACCTGAAGCTTTAGCCATCTACCATATATATGATTTTTTCACATTTAAAAATATTAGAAATAGAATTATACTTAATCAGAATGTATAATTTTGTTTATTTATTTATTTATTTATTTATTTAGTGTTTTTCTTTTTAGAGACAGGTTCTTACTCTGTCACCCAGGATGGAGTGTACAGGCTGGAGTGCAGTGGCCAGATCATAGCTCACTGTAATCTGGAATTCTTAGACTGAGCCTCCTGAGTGGCTAGAACTATAGGCATGGACTACTATGCCCAGGCGATTTAAATTTTATTTTTTTGGTAGAGACAGTCTCACAATGTTGCCCAGGCTGGTCTTGAACTCCTGGCCTCAAGCTATCCTCTTGCCTTAGCCTCCCAAAGTGCTGAGATTACAGGCATAAACCACCTTGTGCAGCCTTAATTATTATTTTAAAGGATGATATTTTGGGGGGAATTGTTTGAGTCTTTACTTTTTGAGATTTAATGTAAACATTTGACAACCGTTAGCCTAGCTGTATTACTTTTAAATGTTAGGTGACATATTAAATATAAGTGCAACCAAGGCTTTTTTAATAGTGGTCTTATACATGGATTTATCTACACCACTGATACTAGAAAAAAGGGTAGCGATGTGAGTTATTACCATGTTTCCCCCAAAATGAGACAGGGTCTTATATTTATTTTTCCTCAAGAAGATACCCTAGGGCTTATTTTCAGGGGATGTGTTATTTTTTTAAGTACGGTATAACAATCTACATTTATTCAAATATAGTTAAGTTGTCTTCTTCAAGAACATCATCATAACTCTCCAAACCCCGAATTCCATCCTGAATTTCTATTCTATTTCCTTTAGAACTATTTCCTTTAGGCTCTATTTCCTTTAGAACCATTGGCCCCAATCTCTCATGTCAAGCGATAGAGCTCTTATGGGGCAGATGAGAAGGGCTGCTCTAAGTCTTTACCGCTCTGCGATGAAATGCATGGGTTGTGCAGATACACCCATCACTAGGTCTTATTTTCGTGGTAGGGCTTATATTGCACAAATGCTTAGAAATCCTGCTAGGGCTTATTTTATGGGTAGGTCTTATTTTCAGGGAAAGGTGGTACTTGCTAATTTGAACAAGTCTGGTTTTCAGTTGTCATTTTAAGATAGTTAACTGAGGGGAACGGGAAAAGCCAAGAAAAAGAAGTGTCATTTCTGGTGTTATTATGGGAAAGCCTGTTCATTCATTCTTTATCACTTCAGTACATTTTATTGTTGTCAGTCTGTCCCTGAACCACATAGTAGCAGCTTCATTCACTGACACTCTGAAATAGTTGTGAATGGTTTCAACATTCTGTTGGCTAAACCATTATCTATACTGTTGAGGTGAAATGTATCTTTTCTTGGCTCACTTCTCATCCAGCCAAGCTTTAATGCTAATTACTCAATGACTATTTAGTGCTTAGATCAAAGAAGTTAAGCTGTCTATAAATTTTAAGGTATTTATTTGAAGAGAAAGCTAAAATGTCTTAAATATATGCATCTTAATTATTGAAAATATCAGTGCCATTCAGGCCAAATCAAAAGTCAATTACTATTCTTTAAACAAAACAAAATGTTAAAAGTCTTTAAAAATTCACCCACCCAAAACTTAGTTCTTCAGGTCATAATTTTTTATGGTTGAATTCACTGGCCTAAATTTATATTTAACTAGATTTGCTTTAGTGTGCTTAACAAACATCCCTGTTGAGATAAAATTCACAAAAGCCTTATTATCCTTTTATCTAAATCCCATAGCTACATTAAAAATACACAGGATAGTTTTAGTTTTAATAAAGTCTTGCTTTTAAATTAAATTAGAGATATATTTGTTTTCTAGTGGTCATATTCATTAAAAACATGGGACCAATATCCTCTTTTCAAATGAATCTGATAGCTCTTCTTACCTGGTTTGTCTAACTCAGATTATCTTTGTAACCTCTGATAAATTACTTCAAACTTAGACTGGCTCTGGCCTAGACTTTTGCAATATCCTCTAAATCAGTCTCTCTGCTTCTCTTGTCATCTTCATGTAACAGGCAGATCCATCTTTAAAAAATATCTCAGATCCTGTTACCCACTTTAAAAATTATTTAATGATTTATACTTTCACTTAGAGTCCAAGCTTTTTAATGTAGGCCCACAGAGAAGGCCCTTGCTTCTCTTTTGTACTACTTTCTTCTTTTTTTTCTTCCAATTTTTAATTTTATTATTTTTTGGAGTCAGAGTCTCCCTCACTCTGTTCCCCAGGCTAGAGTGCCCTGGCATCAGCCTAGGTCACAGCAACCTCAAACTCCTGGGCTGAAGCAATCCTCCTGCCTCAGCCTCCCTAGTAGCTGGGACTACAGGTGCTCTTTCTCAAGCTGGTCTTGAACTCCTGAGCTTGCGCGATCCTCCAGCCTCAGCCTCCCAGAGTGCTAGGATTACAGGTGTGAGCCACTGCACCCACCTGGCCAATTTTGATTTTTAATTTTGGGTACATAATAGTTGTATAGCTACTCTCTCCTTTATTCCTCTCCATACAAGAAGGCCCCGATTTAGGCATTATCCCCATTACTGTGCTTATTTGTTCATTTGTTTCTCTCTTCTTTTTCTTTTGCTGGTGCCTTGGTCTTGGATGTCCATTTGTTTTCCTGTCTGTCAGGCTAGAAAGGAAGCTTCATAAAGGCAGAAGATTTGTCTTGTTTGTTGCTATATCCCCAGTGGGTAGAGGAGGTCTGGCACAAAGTGAGCACTCAAATATTTCTTGGAAGCATAAATGAGTTCAAGCTAGTTTAGTTTGTTTTAGACTTGTTTTCCAAACTACTCCTCTCAGTCATAAAAATGTGATCATTCTCCTATCTCTCTCCCTTCTTCCCTCTCTCCCTTCCTTTCTTTTTCCATTTCCTTATTTATTTATTTTTGTTAGAGGCAGGTCTCACTATGTTATCCAGGCTGGTCTTGAACTTCTGG